CATCAGTGTAGTTTAAGGCCGCTAAACCGTACCCTTAGAAATGGTTAAAGAGGTAATTTTTAAAATTGAAGTGCGGCTGACATACGACATTCTAGCTGCTTCCGGAGTGCATCAGGGCGGGCTGATATTTTTACATGTTACGAAAACGATGCCCATGATGGGCATCAGCACTGTCGGTCACCACGCAAAGTTACGAACGACGACGGACTCTGTTCCCTGTTCATCCCCGTGGCTTGTTTATTTTATAGCTGGAAGTTTGCACCTCTTCATCCCTTGCACCTATTTTGTCATGCATGTTTTACCACACACACACCAAAAGGTATCTGGCAGAGCCGAAAACGTTCTAGTGACTAAGCCCCACCCCCCAGCGTCTGCCACGCGGGGCCCAGAAATCTGCAATTACGTAGCACCACAAGTGGTTCTGATGAAAGTGCGTCACCTACACTCAAATAAGAAAATTAGTACAAGGGGAGCGTGGACGTGAGTGGCAGCTTCACGAAGGCCAGGCACGACCAGCAGCTCCATGTGGCTGGAACGTCCCACTCAAGGCAAAGCAAGAAAGTGGTTAGGGATGAGGCCAGGAGCCGGGAAGGGGGATGGCCCCTGCTAAGTCTGGTTGGCCTTGTGAACGAGTGTAAATATTTGGGTGATGGGGAACCTCTGGGGTATTCGCAACATTGGAAGGAAAGAATCAGATTTGTGCCTTGGCTGGTCTAGTCCAAGAGCTGTGGAATGGGTAGGTTCGAAGGGACTGAGGGGGAAGCGAATCGGGAGGCTGTTGGAAGGGTGAGTTCAGGACCTGGAGAGGATGGTGGGAGGGAAGGAGCTGGAATGGAGACAGATTTTGGTGGATATGACTGGCACAGCCGGTGGTTAACGACATATAAGGGAAGAATGAGAGACAGGCAAGAATGACTCCAAGCTTGCGGTTTGGGGAACTGGACAGCAATCCCATTAGCCAAGAGAGGATACACAGGAGTAGCCATCATGATCTCGTTGTGTTCTGGGGACAGAAGAACCTGGTAGGATGTGTCACCCCAGTCTGACAACTCTATAGCCTTCCCGGCATGACAACCACACTCCCTTTTGAGTGTCTCAAATCTCTCTCTTTCCTTCGCTTCCAGAATCACAGGAGATTGGAGTGGGGAGAAGGTTCCAGTAACGCTGAGCCCAATATCCTTCTTGTACAGTTGGGAGGTGCAGACATGTTAACTGACTGGCGTACGATCCTTATTACCTTGTTAATATATTTAAGGTCATCCTAGCTTCAAATAAAAACAATTAAAAATCAAACATACATATAACGACTTCTTTCCATCAACTTGACTACCAATCTTTACTCGTTCTTCAGTCATCAAATATCCACTTCCTTCTGACTGGGAATCCGTTTCTCAAATCTCTACAATGATTACTTCTCTACCCTTTCAGTGATCCTACCCTAACATTAACTGGAAAAGACTCTTGTCCATCTAAATAGTATTTCCTCAGTCCACATAGCTTCTCCTTGGCTTTCTATGAGATCTGCAACTCTCCTTAAACCCTATACTGCCTTGGTCTTTACAACTGTGGTCCTTCCTTGTGTCCCCTCCTTCCTCTTCTCATTACTCCTTCTCCTGCATTACCCACTTCTTGTGACCGCCCCCCCCCCCTTCCTCTAGATCACCAAGCTTCAGTCATGAGCCCAGAACCCCTCTCTCTTCAGTTAGTTACTCTGGGGTCATTCAGAAGAAACCACTGGGTTCACTTCCAGGCCCGACAGTAGTCCACGTGGAAAAGTTCTCTTTGCGCATTTCCTACGTGGGATGTGCCAGTTTTCTTGGCCCGCATTGCTAGAGGCATGGTGCCTTCTCTTGAGAAGTAATCCACATTCCTCAGGGGCTCACTGGGCTGGTCCCCAGTTGGAAAGGACATTGATAAATGAGCGTGTTCTGAAAACAGCAATGAGGTTGGTAAGGGATCTCAAAACAACACATGAAAACCACTGGAAAACGCTAAGAGTGATGAGCCCGGGAAAGGCTGCACTCTTGTGATCCAGCTTTCTTCAAATTTGTGAAAACCCGTCACGTGGGATGGGGCATAGATGTGGGTTTTTGTGGGTTGTTTTCCTGTTTCAGAAATCCGAAATTTGAAGGAGGTATATTTAGCTCAACAGGGGCAAAAAAAATCTTGCCTATAACTCCTGAGGTTCAACAGAAGGATGAGCTGTCTCTCAATGCAGGGAGCTCTGTCTGTTGCTGAAGGTGCTGAGGAAGAAAGACCTGCTCTGAGCTGGAGACCAGCCATATTGAGATCCCTTTTCCTAGAACACTCTAGGGATTGCCCCCTTGGCAAACAGGCTGTCAGCGCCACAGACTTCACGTATGTGACAGGGATTCAGCTGTCCTGTCCAATTACTTGAGTCTGTCATTGGTCCTGCTGCTCTTCTAGACTCCTGGACGAAAAATCTCAGGGTGCCTTTGATTCCTTGCTCTCTTTAGGTCCGTACCCTCGGCTTCCGGAAGGTGTCTCTGGTTTACTCCTAATTCTCCATTTCCACTGACACCATTCCACCCCAGACTTGCCAAATCACATGTGGATAGAAGTCATTAGATTTTTAAGTAGGAATGGACCCTGGAGAGATCGAGTTCAGCCTGCTCCTTTCATAGGTAAGGAGAGTGAGACGCAGAAAAACTAAAGACTTGTCTACGGTCACACAGTTCAAAGTGGCGGTTCTAGGCTCCAAGATGCAGAGTGCCATATTCTTTCCACTGCTCCTCCCCACAGCGGCTCCAGGATTTCTTCTTATAATCACGTGGGCCACCCTGATACATTTCAAGTAAATTGGTTTTATAGAGGTTGGCCATGACTTAACCATGGAATGACTGATTGATCTGTACAAGGTTGTCATGGTCCTTGGTCAAATCATACGTGTTAATCTAGATCTAGGAATTACCCCCAATCTCTTAATTGTAACAGGCCACTGGGTCTGCTTTGAGTTAACACACACTGTTCTTTTATGTGCTTCTCACAGATAATGCCAAAGTAGAACTGCTGAATTGTGAAATAAAGAAGACTTCCAGCCAGCTCGAGCTCTCTAGAGTCTGAAAATTCAGGTCATTTGGATTTGAAATGTATCATTGTATTCCAATAAGTACAAAAATTACATAGATCATGTTAACTGGCTATGCCCTGATTACAGCCATAAAAGGCCCTGTACTCACGATGGTTCTTCGGTTGCTCTTCTGGGCTCTTCTAGTTCCTGGGCTTGTTTCAGCCACGGTAATTTAGCTTCCACTGGGCTTTTTTCTAAGAAAAAGGGAACACAAACAACAAGCTTAAAGCAGCCGGATACATGATCGTTATTTGCGAAAGGTTTCATCAATAAAGCAGTCACGCTTTTCGAATGCAAAGTGGAGTCTTTTATCACAGGACCTGAAGCGGCTTCTGGAGTGAACCAAACATTTCTGTCGTGTATTGTTTTCATTAACACATTATCCCAGTGCAACCAGATGATCCCATAGCACAGTTGAAGATGTTCTCCAAGTGAGCATACAAATGCCTTTTATATAAAAAAAAATGCCTTCTATAAACCAATACCAATCTCTGTTGTTTACATATTAAAGCTCTTACTTCAACCGTATCAGCTTGCTCTCTTTTGCCACAAATCCCCCTTGCCCAAGAATAAAGATAGATCAATGGAGAAAATCAAATAACGTAGATGTTTAGAAAACTGGGAGGAGGTTTTACTCAAACTTTTATCGGTGTAGTTGTCGCGGGAGCTGATTGCCGATTACACCCGTCACACGGGAGGGAGATGCGTGCTCCTTTCTGTGCTTTTAAGCCTCGCAAGACACGAAGAAAGGAACGCACTGGGTTATGAAATGAGAAAGGAAATTTTGGGCTGCTTCAGGGAAATCACAGACCCTGAGGCGGTGGCTGTGAAAGAACTATCAAGTGCACAAGGCAGGAGGAAAGACTTCACCGACGACGTTAGACAGCCATTACTTGCACCTCGTGGGGCAACCACGTGGCTTTTCTGAAGGGCGGACAGAGTAAATAAGTATTTGTGAAACGGCGTTGACTATAAGGCTCTATGTATGGATAATGAACTGAGAAATAATGAAGGAGAATTGTACCATCCTTTCTAAAAGACTAAGGAAGACTTCTTGGGACCAACCAGTGAGGATAATCCTTTTTCCATTTCCAGAAAGGAAATACTTGTCATAAGGGTTGGTAATACCTCACTCAAGTACATGGAAATAACCATGTATGGAAAGGACTGTGTATCCGAGAGATGATGCCAAGACTTCCTGCCCGTGGATGCTACCCATTTCTGCTCATTCCTGGGGAACAAATAGGAATAATAGAAGAAATTCAAAAAGCATCCAGAGATCTGCACTGGGAGCCAAAAGTCTTCACCTACTCCACGGTAGGTAGGCACCAGGACACGCGATAAAGATGATGTTGTCCCTCCCTCAAGAGACATACACTCCAGGGTAAGGTATGTACAAAATACTGCGGGGGAAAAAAGAACGAGAACCCTGGGGGAAATTTCCTCCTCCTCTTTCTCTTTATCCTTCTCCTTTTCTTTTCCCCTTTCTCTTTCTCCTCATCCTCCTTCTTTTTCTCCAAAGCAGGGATTCCATCAGATTATTCCGTGTCCAGCGAGTAATGTTGGTGTAAGCCCAGACAGATAGGAGCCACTCTAAACGTACTGAGTCGATAAGCACTCAGCTTCCCCCCCCCCCCCGAGATCAATTTATCAAGTGGGTCCAGCTTCTTTACCTGGTGGACAGTCTAACTGCCATCTGTCGGTAAGACAGTTTTCCTAAGACGGTTAAGTTGAAATGTAAATCCTGCGATATTCGAATGAGAGCTGGAAAACACCACTTGATTTAACTTTAACATGCACCACAAACTTACCTTTCGGTTTGTAGCACGGGATGGGGATGATACATTCTTCTTTGATGTGTAACTTCAGCTGTGGGTTGCAGCCACCAACGTGCTGCCCACGGTGGTTGATACACAGAACGACGCGGTAACGTAACCCTCGGCCACAAGTCACCGTGCACTTCAAAGAAGAAACGAGAAGCCAGTGAAACTCTTGTCCACGAGGAGATCCACAAAGGCATTAATGACTCAAGCCAAGGAGAGCCCCTGATCTACGTATTAAACACAAAAGACCATTAGACAAACAGTATGTAAAGAAGGGGATAGAAGCTGGTTTTCTCTGATTCTTATGTTTCAGGGCCCCTCCCTTTGCAAGGTCTCTGTCCAGTTCTCAACCTGAGAAGTATTTCAGATGAGGCCACAGCACAAGAAAAACTGAAATGACCCGAAAATTTTCTGTTCAATATGAAAGAGACTTGATATAGGTTTTCTCAAATTTGATTAAATTTGTAATGACATTATCCAAAACAACTTGAGAACATGGGAAAAAGAAACTTTTTTAAACTATTAATTAAAAAATCAAATTCTGATCAGTCACACTAAAGGATTTTCTTCCCATTCTGTCTATAGAAATCGATCTTGCAAAACTGCGATCACACGAAGAGGCCATCATATTCAGCCACAAAGCTCAGGAAAAATACTGTAGAAATATCAAGCAGTTAAAATTCATAAAAACATTCTGCAAGTCACCTGAGTGGCTCAGTCGGTTAAGTCTCCGACTTTGGCTCAGGTCAGGGTCTCACGGCTCGTGGGTTTGAGCCCCGCGTCAGGCTCTGTGCTGACAGCTCGGAGCCTGGAGCCTGCTTCGGATTCTGTGTCTCCCTCTCTCTGTACCCACACCCCACCCCCCCGACCTGGCTCATGCTGTCTCACTCTCTCAAAAATAAATAGATTAAAAAAACTTTTCTAAATAAACATTTTGCTATTTTGTCTGAATTTTCATGGTTTGTGCTGTATTTTTTTCCTTGAATTATTTATTTATGATTTGGAAGGTTCTCTTACTGACAAATGGAATATTTTCCTGTCATGAAAGTCTCGGATATCATTTCAATTTATGTACATACGTTGGGGAGTACATATGTGTATAAGTATGTGTTTTTTTTTAATTAATAGACTTTATTTTTTAGGACCATTTTATGTTTAGAGAAAAACTGAGCAGACAGTCCAGAGTTCTGCTTTGCCCCCACTCACCCCCATAGTCTCCCTTATTACTGACATCTTGTGTGAGTGTGGTACAATTATTACAATGGAGGAACCAATGCTGCTGTATTGTTTTAACTAAAGTTCACAGTTCACGTTGGGGGTCATTGTCAGTTTTTTAAAATTTTGCAATTGCTTCGCTTATTCTAAGTAAAAATTCTCTGAGGTGCCTGATATTTTTATTTTGCATCCTTTCTTCTTCAAAGTCCAAACTGTGTACACTTCAGGCCTCCCCAATTCTGGGATCCATCCGAGGGAGGGGCTGAAAGTCCTAGGACATCCACTATGAACAGGTGCGGCCTGCGGGGGTTATCTTACTCATGTCCCAACGCACCTTCAGGTCAGTAGCCTCATTCCCATTCGACAGATGAGGAAATAGCCCACCACCAAAGGACCTTGCTCAAGGTCACACAGTTCCCAAGGGGCATAGCGGATCCATCCTGGAGCCTCTCGTTGCCAAAACCATGACTTTGCCACTGACACATCGAGCTCAAGGGCTCTTTCTTAAGTCTGTAGATGTTTCCTACACGGTCACAGACAAGTTTCACAGGACAGGAAGGCCTTTTTTAACATACTCACTTCTCCAAAAAGGGAAGGTATCATCAGAGACCAAACAGACGGTTACCAGAGGGGCGGTGGGGGGAGGGGATGGATGAAATAAGGAAAAGGGAGTAAGAGTGCACTTCGTCATGATGTGGAACCACTGAACCACCATACAACTGAAACTAATATAACACTATGTTAACTCTACTGGAGTTTTTAAAAATAGGGAGTTAAAAAAAAAAGGCTATCAGGAAACCTATCTGATTTCCTCTTGCCATTGAACAAATATTCTAATGAACTGAGTGAGGTTTGAGATTAGACCCTATTTCTGGGAAGTCGATTCCCCTACCCCAAGATTTATCAACTTGAAATATATGTGACTGTCAGAGGCTGTTGCGTATCGGCCAAGAAAGAAACAAGAACTCTGCCCAAAGAGAAAGAAAACAGTACGATGGATGATAAGGTATAACCACACCAGGACTGGTCAATCCAAAGGAGTATTGTCTCCTCTCACATAGCACCCCCTTCCCCCCCGGGAAGCTGGACACTTACCCTAATAATGCTGTCGGTATTTACAATTTCCAGAACTCCTCTTTGGAGGAGGAATATATCCTTAATGATAACGAATTCTCATTACTGAGAATGTATTTGATGTTTGCAAACAAATGAAAAGTATTAAGAGCTGAGAAAGGTAAATGAGATGATTTGGTTAGCGACCCCCCTTTTGATACTGTGAGTGACGATAAAGTCACGATATTGATGAGGATGTGGGGTCGTGGTATGAAAGCTCTAAAGCCAACACAAAACATATGGATGGGACTCTTCTAAGAGCTAAAAATGAGCTCTGCAGGTTATAGAGGTAAAAATGTTGATTTCTGATGATAGATCACAGCGTGACTTTTGGCACATATGTCAGGAGTTCAAGAATGGAATGGCCTTGCTGTAAGAAAATCCGCCTCAGTTCTGTTTACTAATGTGAACAAGTTTTCCTGGTAAGCACGTGCAAAACAAAACAGAACAAGAAACCAGCAGTAAAAACTAAGAATAAAATTATTGTGGAACCCAGGTCTGAACCCATTCTGGGAATGGACAATTTTTTAAGCCACCCACCCTCATTTTCTGGATTGATTCCAACTGAAAGAGACAGGAAACCATCAAAACCCTAGAGGAGAAAACAGGAAAAGACCTCTCTGACCTTAGCCGTAGCAATTTCTTACTTGACACATCCCCAAAGGCA